ATGTGTTTTTGGGGGAAAAAATTATGTTTAGAAACTTTTAACCTTAGACCTCTCATTGTGTCGTTACCGACATTTTTATAGGCGTTGAGATATCATGACATGTTTAAAATCTTTATCCAATCAAACACTATCATATAAATGAAACAAAGCGAGGACTTTTCAATGCTTAGCCAAATGGTTTGGCAAAACGACCTCATGTTCCCTTTCCTTTCAGTTATGGCAGTTGGAAACACTTCTTCTGCAAAGAGACAATTACATGAACTACAGCAGACCGTTGAGCACAACAAGCGTCGGATGGAGTCAGAATTTAGGAACTCGTAGCAAGACCAGGAACCTAGTAAAGAGAGCAAGTTATGGACTAAAATGTCTTGTATTAGATAACTGGCAAAGGGGCTGGATTCTGTTGCTATGGGTGATGATTATGGCTGGACTTTTCACCTGGAAATTCTTGCAGTATAGGCGAAGAGCTGCATTTCAAGTTATGGGTTACTGCTTGGCAACTGCTAAAGGAGCTGCAGAGACTCTCAAACTCAATATGGCACTTGTCCTTCTACCAGTTTGTCGAAACATTTTAACATGGCTACGGTCTACTAGGGCCAAGCTCCTAGTTCCTTTTGATGATAATATCAATTTCCACAAGGTAAACTACAACAAGAAGAGAACATACCGTGCACCTCAGAATTTCTCGATCTTAACAATGTTGTTTGAATTGGCAGATTATTGCGTATGCCATTGCAGTTGGAATCTTGCTTCATGCGGGAAACCATTTAGCATGTGATTTTCCTCGTCTGATTAACTCATCTCCTGAGAAATTTGCACTAATAGCTTCTGATTTTGACAACGTGAAGCCCACTTTCAAAAGCCTCTTGACCGGCATTGAAGGTGTTACTGGCATTGCTATGGTTATTTTGATGGCAATTGTCTTCACACTAGCAACACGAGGCTTCAGGAGAAATGTATTGAAGCTGCCACCTCCTTTCAATCGATTAACAGGCTTCAATGCATTTTGGTATTCTCATCACCTTCTAGCAGTGGTCTATGTACTCCTAATAGTACACGGAACGTTCCTGTTCTTGGTCCACCAATGGTGGCAGAAAACAGTAAGGACATAGAACACCAAGTTGCTTTATAGGATCTACAGATTGATAAACTGACAATATGTTTCCCATTTTGCAGACATGGATGTACATCTCCATGCCGTTGCTCCTCTATGTAGCCGAGAGGAGTTTGAGAACATGTCGATCAGAACACTACACAGCAAAGATTTTGAAGGTGACTGGCTTTATCAATGTAGTTTTTCCATCTATACAGAAATTACACAAGAAGAATCCTTTCTGCATACAAATAAGCTGCAACTAAAACCTGCTACTCGCCTCCCCGTCTACAACCCCTCCAATTCAGCTTTCTCCAATGGTGTCAACACAGCTTAATACCCCTTTATAAGAAATTAAAAAAATAAAAAGGAAACATGCACTGAGGTTCACAATATAGGGCAGACGAAACAATCCAAATACCACAGCAAAACCATATACTCAATCAGCTACTTCATAAAGCAACAGAGTTTCTCTTATCCCATGCCAAACTGTCCAGTGTGTACATCATAAACATGACCATCAAGCACCATCAGAAATCAATCAAAAACTCGCACATTCCAACCACCAGCACCACAACATTTTTCACAATCGTCTATTGAGGAACTAAGATCACTGAGTAAATTTACAATTAAGCAAACTCAAAGTCAAGAGATACTCAACATATATAAAATCATTGAGTTATGGTAGGCTTTTTTCTATTTAATTTGCACTCCTGTATTCCTAGAGATAAGACAAGCATCTGGTTCCTAATGACATCCACTCCCCAAGACAGTAGTAAAGAAAAAAAACGACTGAGATAAAACGACGTGGTAAACAGGAGATCAATGAAGATGGTTTTCTTTTTCTTTCTTTTTTTTTTTTTTTTTTTGAGTAAGCAATGAAGATGGTTTTTCTTTTGGTCTTTACAGGTTTCTGTACTTCCAGGAGATGTCTTTAGCCTTACCCTGTCAAAGCCAAATGGTTTCAAATACAAGAGTGGGCAATACATATTCCTGCAGTGCCCAACAATCTCCTCATTTGAATGGTAAGTGTGGTGTTTCTGCATTTAAGTTAATCATGCCTCCACCAACAGGCATTTAACATAATGATGTTTCTCCAGGCATCCATTTTCTATAACATCAGCACCAGGAGATGAAGACCTCAGTGTTCACATCCGCATTGTAGGAGATTGGACGAACGAACTTAAGCGGGTTTTCACAGAGGATGATAGCTCAGCATGTGAAATCGGGCGGGCTAAGTTTAAAGAACGTGGGAATGTTGATCAAAGAGGGTAAAACTCCTCTATTTGATTTTTGACCAGTCAAACCTTATAATCGAGATTTCCTTATTAAGAAGTCTAAAGGGCTTGTAATGACGCAGTTTACCTCGATTGCTTGTTGATGGACCATATGGTGCCGCAGCACAGGACTATCAAAATTATGATGTCTTGCTCCTTGTGGGACTTGGTATTGGAGCTACCCCTTTTATAAGTATCCTAAAGGATCTATTGAACAATTCAAGATCAGAAGAACAACTGGTACAAATTTTACTTCAAGTTAATTTAGAACTAACCAAGTAGAATGTTAAGGCTCCAACTAACAGTCTCTCTGTCCATGATGCTACCTTAGGATTCGAATACTGAGACCAGCGCATCAGATGACAGCTGGACAAGTTATGCCTCTTCAAGTACGGCATCAAGTGGAAAAAAGAAATCAATAAGGACGAAAAGTGCACATTTTTATTGGGTTACCAGAGAACCTGGATCCTTTGAGTGGTTTAAAGGGGTGATGAATGAAGTGGCCGAAATGGATCACAAAGTAATGTACACAGATTTGTTACATTCCCTTCCCCCCCCCCCCC